CCCCCCCCCCCTGCCGAGATCCGTGTGAGGGCAGATCTGTGCCCCCCCCCCGCTAGCAATCTAAAACAGTCCAACTTTAAGACCAAGTTTTATTCAGGTACAAGCTCTCCCTCCTCTGTGAGGGCAGATCTGCACGTTCCCCCCCCCCATAGCTAGCAATCCAAAACAGTCCAGTGGAGCCTGAACAGAGGCTGTTGCCTTCTGACTTCTGGTGATGTCAGGGGGAGTGGCATATGCAAATAGGTTATGCTAATGATTTCTGCTAATGAGCTCCTGCACCTCTTTTTCTACAAAATGACCCCTGAGTCGTTCTATTGCAGACCGACACAGCTACCACTTGAAACTGTGTTTTCCTAGTACACCTTTACTCAAAAGAATAAATACAGTCTTTTGGGTTGTTTTTTTGTTTTAAAAAAAAGGAGGTGCAGAAGAGATTATTTGGTGAGGAAATAATTGCAGTGTGCGGTCAGCGGGAAAGCTGACTGGCAACGGGTGATGTTTGGTGGCCGAGGAGGGTGGCTCGGGCCGCAGGGCCTTGACGCAAGTCTGCAAACCGGTCTCTCATTTTAATCTGTGGGAAACGCTGGGAGGCAATGTTCCCTCTAAGCTGTAGAGACTAGTGAGCAAAAATTCTACTTTGTGAGCTATTGGCATTAAGCGTCTGAGCGAGCAATTTGGCTGCTGCATTAAATCAGTGTGCTCTGGAGCCCTCCGTCCTGAGCTGAGAAAGAAATCTGCGAGCCAGAGGCTAAAAAACTGTGAGCTAGCTCACACTAACTCAGCTTAGAGGGAACACTGCTGGGAGGCCATTCAAGCCCCGAGTCTCACACTTAGGTCCCCTCAGACCTTCCTGTGGAGACCCATACCCCGACAGCTCACACCACGGGATGTGCGGCCTGCCAATTTTTGCAGCTAAAACACACAGAGAGAGAACTGTGTATTTAACGCCGCCTGATGTGGGTTATTTTAGAGCTCACAAAACTCGGCCAACAGGCAGCCTGCGTCAGCTCCGGGTTCTTCCCCTCCTCTTTCCAGGGCTCGCTCTTTATTTAATAAAATGCCTGGCTGCCGCTCCGTTGGCTGGAGAAGGAACCGAATCGTTGACTGAATCTGTCTGGGACTGGATTCCACCACCTCCCTTTCGTCCTCCTGGGCGCGCCAAGTCGGTTTCAGAAGCCAAGTCTCTCTCTCTATCTTTTTTTTTTTTTAAGTCGCCTTGATATTTTGCCAGAAATATTATTATTCCAAGCTGTTATTTATGAAGGGGAGTGGGGCACATTTAAAAGCCCGTCACCGCCACAAATAATTTAACCGCCGGCGTCGCCCCAACATGCTTTGGCACAAAATGTCAGCCGCTTCCTGCAAACGGGACGGTTCGTTCCCCCACCCCGCCCCCACGCCCCCCATTTACAAACCAGCAATTGTCTCTCGCGGCTCAATGGCCGGGCCTTGTCTTTATAAATACACCAACATGACGCACGAAGCGCATACAAAATTCAATCAGTTATGCACAGTGTGTGGGGGGGGAGGGGAGGGGATCTTAGGCCCTGTTTCCATGGCAACCAATGCCCCCCATTAAATGCGGTGCGGTTCGACTTGCCAAATCCTACAAGATTAGTCAAGCAAAGCCTTGCTTTTCTCATTCTTAAAAGGTTTTGAACGTTCAAGCACCCTTCACTCGGGCGCAAGCAAACTAATGTTATTAGTAAAACGTCTCTTGGCACACAAGGACGGGGAAAGAGCTGGGGAGGGCAGAGAAAAGCAAGGCCTTGTTTTCCTTATGAAAGCCAATTCCATTGCTTAGCAACGGCCCCGACAGCCCGACAGAATGCAACCCTTGTTTGCAGGCTTTTAGTTCTGCTCAGTAAATTACATTTAACGCAGCCAGGGGGCGGGGCGGGGGGCGGAGGAGGGAGATGGGGGGGCGGCGCACCCCCCTCCGAATGGCTCAAACAAACAAATCTACCCTTGCCTACCAGACTCCCGTTCCTTGGCTCCAAACAAAGCAAAGGAGCAAGGGAGAGTGAGGCTGTGGGAAAACCAAGAGCTGAGCCTTGGGTCGCCAACCTCCAGGTGTAGCCTGGAGATCTTCCGGAATTATAACAGCTCTCCGGACTACAGAGATCAGTTCCCCCAGAGAAAACGGCAGCTTTGGTGGATGGGTTCTGTGGCGTTGTACCCCACGGAGGTCCCTGTCTTCACGAGGCGAACCCCCAAAGGGTGGATAAAAATCAACATTTTTTAAAAAAGCAGCTATTTTTATCTAAATTGGACTTTTTAAATTTAAATTGGATTTTTTAAAAATAAAATGCTTTTTGAGGGAAGAATCTAAAGATAGTTTTCTGTTTAAGATACATCATACTCCAGAGGTTATTTATCATGGAATAAGGATTAGTTTCTTTCCAAGTTTTATTTTCGGTTTTCTAAACACATTGCAAAGCATCTACAGACAAATCTATATCCTTTTGAGTCTATAACATCTACTGATTATTTATCCATATATATAAACG